TGTAATAGCCTCACTTCGCCTTAAACTAATCTATCATATCCCAACACACAATGCAAATAATATAAAACATTCCCAAAACAACAACATACATATAAAAAGAGTCTCGTTCCTCCAATTCCTTAAAAAACGTGAAAGCGCTAATCCACTACCTAGTTCCATACTCCTTTACAAGGAACATACTCTAATTACATCAATTTACAATCCATGAAATACAGCCGAAATCAAAAGTCCATAATTTATAACATTATACAAATTATACTAAAGTTTTACAAAATAGTCAAGATTTACATTTACAAAATATTAAAATTCTAAAACAAAAATAGCAAAATATAAATCTCCAATCCCGTCTAAACTTATAGTGGATTGTCGTCCGCCACTTACTTCCTATGACCTAAAAATTGTTAAATATAAGGGGTGTCCAAATTGCTCAGTAGGTGGTGCCTAAGACACACCTCTTGTGACCCCGTGAATCCAGGTAAGAAATAAAAATAAAGGGAAATGGGATCATGCTATACCAAGGAAGAATACGATACAATTACAAGGCCAAAAATAAATAATGTCGTGCCATGAAATGCAATGCCGTGCTATGTCGCTCCCCGTTTCAAAACCATCCATCATTTTTCAAACCGTTAACATAGCCTGTCCTTTGGTGACTCCGCGGCGACACGAGAAGGATTGGCTACTGTCCCTGACCATCGGTACCTCCGCGGCGTCATTTGGGGCCAGCTAGCTCAACCACGCTAGGGTGATTTCCCTATTTTCCTCTAGGTCACATTAATGCCACGGACCTTTGGTACCTCCTCGGTGTCCGGGTTTTTACAAAACCACTGATAAAAAAAAAAAAAAAAAAGTTTCCCAAAACCCCTTTTCATTTCAAAACAATTCTTTCCCATTTTTCCTCGTCTAATGCTATACATGAAATGTGTCATAAAATTATACAATTCTACTTCAACAACCTTGCATGCTTAATAAGGAAATTCACACACAACATCTCATACTCACAATTAGTATAATTTTCAACAACTACATATTTAAATTAAGAACATAATTATTTAAGCATGTCTTTGTCATGTCCCTTCAACAAATCAATTATGCATACCATTTAAGCATGAAATTCACATAACTTATACAATTCAACCTTAACAACTTACATACTTAGTAAGGAATTTTATGCAAAACCTAACATGCTTAAACTTAACACAATCTTAACAATCACACATCTAAATTAAAAATATAATTATTTAAGCATGACTATATCATATTTCATCAACAATCAACATACACATCACCGAACATGAAATTTACATGGAATTATAACTTATACACATAACATCAAGACAACTTAGTATGAATTAATCACAATTTAACATGTTACACTACAAATTAAGAAAGAATAATTCACCAAGAACCAAGAGATTATAGATCAAGTACCCCTACCTCCAAGAATGAGAAAACTCCTAAATTGAGCCCAAATTTTGAATTTCCTAGGGTTGGCCAAATGAGAAATTGCTTACATCAATTTCCTAGGGTTGGCCAAATGGCTAAATGAGAAATTGCTTACATCAATCTTGATGTGCTCTCCCTTTTGCCACAAACGGCCCCTAAAAACTCCAAGGAATGAGAGATTAATTGAAAGAAAAAAAAAAAAAGAAAAAAAAAAAAGAAGAATGAGAGGAAGAAGAGAGCATTACAGGAGAGAAGATGAAATGAGGCCATACATGGCCTCTTGGCCACAAATATGGTACTGGTAGGTCCTACCACTAAAGGATTTTCTTTTTGATTTATTTTCCACCATAAAATTATATATATATGTTCCAATTATATCATGGCCACACAATTTAGCACTTAAACAATTTACTTAGGCACAAAATAATAATGCATGGTATGCAAATGACTTAAGACATAACTCCCGTACACAACAACTTTGGTAACGGATCCCACCATTGCATTTTCAAGAGTTCTAAACTCAAAGAAATGTCCCAACTGATTCTCGGACACACCCAGCACACTCCACGATGTCCGGCACGTAAAATGAGGAAAGACGAAAATACCCTCGAAAAATTCAGAAATTTCCAGAAAATGGTAAAATTGGAAACATTACAGATCTTGTTGTGCTGAAGAAGGTTTTAAAATTGACAAATTCACCCCCTTCTTAGTCCCAACATAATAAATGCAATATCTCTTATTTTGTTCAATTCATGTATGAAGGTGTGTTGATAAATTTATCATTTGGTTTGTTAGTTGGGACAGGACTAGATGAGTGATCAGATCGATCACATTAGATTCAGGACCCCATCAGATCGATCAGATGCTAGGATCTAATCGATTACATGGCTTTGTGCAAAAGACATACTCTATGGTTTGTCCATCTGACCTGTTAGATGAGCCCATCTGATCAATCAGATGCTTACATCTAATCAGTTACATGGTTTTTTTTAAAAATAATCTGCTCTTTATTTTAGTCATCAGATCAATCACTTCCTTGGATCCGATCGGTTAGATGAACTTGTGTTTGTACCTTCGACCTTGAACTTTATTCAAATCTCACAATTGACCCAGGGTTCCACACTAATCATCTTAGAATAATATTAAATGACCATTATACCCTTTCGAGGTTATATATTATTAAATGACCACTTTGCCCTTAGTTTACCCTCGGGTTCGGGTTATGACCCGATTTGTATTGTACCATCCGATAGCGATTCGGATCCACTGAGTTTGGGTGGTCACATAAATATAATATGCTATTAAATTCTTCATTCTTTAATTTTTTTTATCTTTTTTGTTGTTCAGGGTCATCCCCTCAAATATTTTTCTGGCTCTGTGGTTATCTGATGTGAAAGGGTTAGACAGCTAAAGTATTCATTTTACATTTTTTTGGTAACTGGGGTATCAAGAACTTTGCCCTTACTAATTCATGGTACACCATCTAAAGCGTCCCCTCTACCCAGGTCGAATAAAATTTGAGTTTTCACTCTGAAAATTGTTTACGCACATGGGTAAGCTAAAGTATTCCTATTATATTTTCCATGTGAAAAGACATTAATTCCGGTCTGTGCTCAAGTTGGTGAATTGACCCCATGAAAATTCATTGTTGCTTCCTACATTACATGAACTGTATCGGACCAAAGAAAGAAGTGGTATAACTTTAACAGCGGTGGGTCAAGGACTCAACTACATCAAGACCGGGTAATACAGTCAACTACATATACATGATTCCAGATTACGACATATGAGAATCAACTGCATAAAGACTGGGTAATACAGATTATATGCTGACATATGTTTTATAAGGTTATGTCAATTTCAGTATTTTGGGTAAACAAATGATATTTTATCATGGTTTCTAAAAGTCAAGTCACGCACAATATTTCATAAACGGAACACAAAATCTTTATAACTATATTTCAACGACGACCCTTTCTAAATAAGTCAAAGCTGAATTTACAGATAGTTATGTATATTTAAGTTCTCTGGAGTTAGTGTTTTCTCTCCAAGAATATCTCACCTGTTGACAGTGACATAAAAATATATAATATAAATTAATAAAATAAAAATAAATAAATAAATAAAAGAACCAAGACAAAGATATCTAGATTGTTGATTTCTTTTCTATCCTTGGTGCAATGTCAAAAGTACCATTGTTTGACCATTGTCTGAAGCAGTCATGTATGTGCAAATAAATAATGTCTGACAATGAGTAATGCCCTTCGTTTTGTAGTGGTTTTGAACACTTTACTAATTTCAAGACCAATAACCGGGCTCAAATTCGAATATAAAATCCAACAAAGCACCACAAAATCAAGAAAGGATCCAAAAACATAAATCATGCATCACACAATATATAAAAAATTGTATTGTCTGGTATATAGTTTATGTCCAGTATTGATCCACAAAAAAGTTACACTAAACCAAATGAAGATTATAAATTCTCAAACACCCATATCTCTATCTCACTCACTCTTAGTTTGGCTTAGTATCTTCTCATACCAAAAAAAATACACCCAAGCACCCTTATGTAATAGATTACAACTGATACTAAATTTGGAGTCTACAATTCATGTTAATACTAACTTATGTCTCTGATATTCGCGTATACGTATCTAATACTTTCTAAATGTATCAATTATTTTAAAAATATCTTCTTTTTTAATACGTATTTGATATTTCTCATGGATTTCGATCACATATCTTATATTTTTAAGATATTTAAAAAAAAAATTTAATAAGTTTTAAATATTAAATGTAAAATTTACAACAATAATATCATAGTGTAATTATTAAAAAAGATTGAAATTTTATTTTTTTAAAAAGTAACGAGATATATATTGTAATTGATTTTAAGAAGTAACTGTTGAGATTTATATGGAACATATTAATGATTTTATTTTGTTTCATAATATGATAAATATATATATATGTATATATATCAATATTAATTTATTGTATATATAAAAATATTGTTTTTTTAATTTTTATGATGCAATTCTTATCATACTAACATCATATTTTATTAAGATTTATCATATCGTCCTACCTTCCTCCTGGTATACCTTCCCTAATTCTAATAGTCAATCAAATTGACGCCAATGGAACAAATTGACCCAAAAAAACAAAAGAAAATGACTTGGCCAACATGCAATTATAAAATTAGTTTTACAGAGTGAATTCCATGCTGATGGTTAAGAAACAAAGGTTGGTCCTGTTCTACGTACGTAAACGTTGAGGTCCTTCCACGCGGTGTTTAATGGTAAATCCAGTCATCCTATAGCTACCTATAAATACTAAGCCTTCTCATCTCCCTAAGACATAACCTACAAAACATCTTTTTTTGTTCTTCCATTGTCTGTCATTCCTCATTCAATTTCATTCTTTAATTCTTTAATTTTTTTGTTTTATTTTTGGGTAAATTCATTCATTCTTCTTCTTCTTCTTCTTCACTCTTTAATCTTTGTGTAACTTCTCATTATCACTATCATTCTTTTCTCTCTAAAAAGATCATGGCACTCGAGCAACCCATGTTGAAAGAGTCTCGCCGAAACCAAAAGTTGGATCTAATCCATAGAGAAGCCCATGTTCAGGCTATTAATCTGCCAACAATAAGCAGCAGTCCTCATGTTTCTTATCATGATGCCAACGGTCGATTGGAATCGTTTAGGATGCTCGAAAATGATGTGCCGAGTGGTCCTCCTGAGACGAAACTAGCATGGTTGCGGTCTCAAGTCATCGGCAGTGATGTGGAGTTCGACACTCCTTTCGGAAAACGCAGGCTTACCTATGCTGACTACACTGCCTCCGGCCGATGTCTTCACCATATTGAGAACTATATCATCAACAATGTTCTTCCAATTTATGGTTAGTTACTTCTCATTTTATATAATAATTAATGTTCTGTATTTTAGATTGGGTACCGGCTATTAACTTTTCTACTATATTTAAATTAACATTTTTCCTTTTGTGCTAATAGGGAACAGTCATACAAGTGACAGTTACGTGGGGGATCAAACTACAAAAATGGTGCATGAAGCAAGTAAGTATGTCAAGTCTTGCTTAGGGGGCAAAGACGAAGATGCAATCCTGTTTGTTGGATCCGGTACAACGGCAGCCATCAAACGACTTCAAGAGGTTATGGGAATTGCTGTAGCATCAACCATGAAGAATAGGGTGTTGATGAGCCTGAGGGATGAAGAAAGATGGGTTGTGTTTGTTGGACCATACGAACACCACTCGAACCTCCTCTCGTGGCGCCAAAGCTTAGCAGAAGTTGTAGAGATAGGTCTAGATGAAAATGGCCTAATCGACATTAAAGCTCTAACATACCAACTCGAGTTATACCAGCAGATAAATCGTCCTATGTTGGGTTCTTTCTCAGCTTGTAGTAATGTCACCGGAATTTACACTGACACGCGCGCCCTTGCTACACTACTTCATCAATATGGTGCTTTCGCATGCTTTGATTTTGCTGCAAGGTACATAAAGAGTTTGTTTGAGTTCTTATATGTTTCTCTAGGACAAAGTAATATTATTGATCAATTGGTAACATGCATGCTTTGCTTTTAAACTTATATGTGCAGTGGTCCTTATGTGGAGTTTGACATGAGATCTGGGGAGGTAGATGGATATGATGCAATTTTTCTTAGTCCACATAAGTTTGTCGGAGGACCTGGCACTCCTGGAATTCTTCTAATGAACAAGGTCCTCTATCAATTAGGATCTTCACCACCTTCAACTTGTGGTGGAGGAACTGTGAGCTTTGTCAACGGATTCAGTGAAAAGGTATTAATTAACTAGTCATCACCAATTTGTTATTCTCATTGTGCTAATTTGACAGTCACACACACATACATATATATATAGGATATATGTGTTTGACAGCAAAGAGAAGCAAACAATTTTTCTATCCATCAAGTCATATTTGAAATCTTTATCATATAGAGTTAGACTGGATCATCTTATGGTATCATCAATTACGAAGTTTGCCAATTAAATGACACTCTATATTATGAAATGTTGCAGGACACTCTATATTATGAAGATGTGGAAGAGAGAGAGGATGCTGGAACGCCGCCAATTATTCAGAAAATGAGAACAGCAATGGCTTTTTGGGTAAAAGAATACATTGGTTACGAAGTCATTAGAAAGCAGGAGCACAATTTCATAGAAAGAGCACTTGACAGGCTTTCTACCAATCCAAACATTTGGGTATTAGGGAATACTAGTGTAGAGAGGCAAGCTATCTTGTCCTTCATTGTATTTTCCACCACAAACTCCTCCGTTGTTGACATGAAAAACAAGAGCTTCACAGATGAAAACGGTACAAGTACTAAAGAAGGAAATTTCATGTGGAGAGAGTTTGGGAACAGGAGAGATAAGCCCCTTCATGGTCCTTTTGTTGCAAAGCTCCTCAATGACCTTTTTGGCATCCAAGCTCGGGGTGGGTGCGCTTGTGCTGGGCCCTATGGTCACCATCTCCTCCATGTCGATGAGCCTCATTCACGTGCCTTCAAATCTGCCATCCAAAAGGTACCTAACTCAGCAATTGTTCCCAACTAAATTTTAGAAATTATTGCTTCCAATAAGAGTGTCATATCACTTTTTAAAATCTTAACCTATGATGATAAATTTTGACAGGGTTACAACGGAGTGAAGCCTGGATGGACACGACTCAACTTTGCTTACCACATGTCAGTAGAAGAGTTCGAATTCATTCTAGCTGCATTGGAATTCATAGCCATGTATGGCCAGAGATTCCTTGTGCTCTATGACTTCAACTGGAAAACAGGCAACTGGACTTTCAAGAAGAAGGCAGTCAAAGAGATTGAGACAATCAAACAGTGTAGAAAAGAGTTCAACAACTTGTTGATCTCTGGCGCTTTCCAAACAGCCAATTTCGAAGATAATGAAGCAAATACTGATAACAATACCATTGAGATGATCCACAAGTATGTGTCTTACTTGCAGACTGCTAAGAGAATTGCTCATTCTCTCTCAAAGTTTCCTCCTCCTGGAAAGGTTCCAAAAGAGATAGATCTTGACCTTGTGAATTTCAGAGTCTAGTATTGACCATCTCTCTTTTTTGTGTGTTTGTCACAACTTTATTCTTATTATGTATACTGAATTTCCTTGCTTTTGTAAGATATGTTTATTCTTTTTGTATCAGAAAAATAAATGAAGAAAAAAACTGGAACATCTTGTTCCTTTTTCTCTATGCTTTGTTGTGCTCTTTTCTTAATTTCTTTCTATTTGTCGTTTCTTTCTTAGAATTAGTTTATTTTAGAAAATTAAGGAAAAACATGAAAGAGGGAACAAATAAATATATTATTAGTGTAAACACCCCATTTATAAGTTATATCCTAAAGAAAACAATTGAGCCTAGTAGCTAAAGTAAGGGGTGAATAAGTTAAGGTTAGATAGATAACGCATTGAAACTTATGCTCCTCGTTTTGAGAAAAATACTACTGCGTACAATCTTGAAGTATCAACTACAACCTTCTAGAATATCAATTAGGCATTAATGGATATTGTCTGATCTTTCTTCTCATAAGCGATTGTGTTTGAGCTTTATTAGGTGCAATTTTGTGGATGTATACTTTTACCAACCTTTCCAATGATGAGCCGAACAAGAGAGAATTGGTGGACTCACCACAATGCCTTTCCGATGTGGATCAAGTCGAGCAAGTCTAGTGGTTAGTTAAAAAAACAATAGTACGTAAATAAATTGGTCTCGAAAAATTCCACATGTGACTTTATGACCTAATGGATAATTATGTTACGAAAATAATCTGGTCAGGAAATGGTTTAATTTATAAATATATTGGCAAGACGAGCTTGCACAGATGCCCTGGCTTGAACACTAGGCTAACAAATCCCTATTTATGTTATGTTCAGAGAAAAACAACTCATAAAATTGAACTAAATTTTTCTCTAATTCCAATTCTAATTCCAATTTCAAAGATCCAATTCCTTACAACTGAACACATCTTTAAAATTTTTATATTTTCAAATACAATTACTTGAACATTGCGAAGCGACTTAGGTGATTTGTGGGCGATTTTTAGGGATTCACACTGTTAGGGTTTCTAGCGAGATGAGGGTCTTCCGTTCATGGAGGAGGGTATTTCCTCTTCCATAGTGCACCAGGGGTTTTGCTGTAATTAGAATAAGATTATTATTACTGATGAAGATGTAGGTTCTTGCTTACTGGACGAATTTAGTTGTTGGGTGTGTGATGGGCAAACAGCCTTAATTTTTGAGATTCCAAGGTTTTCTACAAAGAAGATGGGCTATTGTAACTCAGTTCGAGATGGATTTTTCATTTGTTGATTTGAGTCTCAAAAAGATGTGGAGCATGTTCTCCAACCAGTGTATACCTTTGAAGGATGCCCTGTTATGTGGTGTAAGAATGTCAATTTGGAGAGAGATATATCTTCTGGGTTTTGTTTCAATAAGGATCAAGAACCCCTAAATCCAAAACTACAAAATAATATCCATAATATATAAATGTCTATAAAGAGAAATAATAAAACCCTACACTAAAATAACAAGAAAAAATGGATGACCATAACAAATTATGAAGTGCTGAGTCCTTAACCTTGTGGCTGAAACTGCCTGAGACCTGAAATATCAACAAAAGGTGGGTTAATCCCATAAGCAATTCATCTCTACTATAGCCCAACAGAGTACCGATAAACCTATCACCTCAAATGAAACCAATACAATAACAAATATAACTCCCGACTCAATACCCTTAAATATGTTATCAACAATTATACATGTACATAAGATAATAGGCAAGACAACCATGCCTACAACCAAACTACGTACCCAGCAATTCAACCATGTCTTAGCAACTCAACCTTGCCAATAGGTACTTGTGAGACTGCGTTAATAGTCAGCCCATAATAGTTCCATAACACATTCCACATTTACAATATGATAATTATCATTTAAGTTTCAACTCGTACACGGGTGTGTGCAGAGTGTGAGATAGCTGAGTGTGTAACTACTTGCATATAACTAGTGGAGTTTATATTGGGTGAGGCAAAGAATCAAGGTTTTTCCATATTGAGAGGGTTTTCCTTATATACCTTGTGTTCATTGTATTTGCTTATCAACATTGATTTTGTAACGACCTAAAATGATACCAGTCATAAAAAATAATAATAATAATAAAATCGGCATGACCTCTACTAAAAAGGATCCTACCATAATCTGTTCAAATGCATAAAAAAAAATGTAATAGCCTCACTTGGCCTTAAATTAATCTATCTTGTCCCAACACAATGCAAATAATATAAAACATTCTCAAAACAACAACATACATATAAAAAGAGTCCCGTTCCTCCAATTCCTTCAAAAACTTAGAATCGTCAGTCCTTTACCTAGTCCCATACTCCTTTACAAGGGACATACTCTAATTACATCAATTAACAGTCCATGAAATACAGCCGAAATCAAAAGTTCATAATTTACAACATTATACAAATTATACTAAAGTTTTATAGAATAGTCAAGATTTACTTTTGCTGTAACGACCCTAAACTGATACCAATTATTAAAAAAAAAAAAAAAAAAAAAAAAAAAAAAAAAAAAAAAAATGGCATAACCTCTGCTAAAAAGGGGCCTACAACAACCCGCTTAAATAATAATAATAATAATAATAATAATAAAAAAAACAATGGCCTTTCTTGGCCCTCCAAGACTTATCCCACCTTTGTAACGATCCGAACCCGAGGATCCAAATCGCTAACTAGGTCCTTACCCGAACCCGAGGTTAACTGAAAGCACTACCATCATTTCTTATGTCAATACATAATATACGTATCATCCTAGGGTTTATAAAATAATAATAATAATAATAATAATAAAATAAATAAATAAATAAATAATAAAATGATATCATAGCTACAAGGTTTGTTAAAACGGTTTACTAACCCATCGAACCCTATGGAGGAGCGTCGTCCGCCACTTCCCTTCCATGTCCTGAAAAATGATAAATATAAGGGGGGAGCAAATTGCTCAATAGGTGGTGCCTAAAACACACCTCTTGTGACCCCGTGAATCCACACAATGAGTAGAAAAAATAAAGAAGTGGTATCATACCATACCGAGGCAAACATAGCAACAAATTCGACAATCCAAGTCATAATTAAATTATGCCGTGCAATGCCATACAATGTCACTCCCCAATTTTACCAAAACCATTTCTGCTATCATTTCCAAACCGTTAGTGCAACCCGTCCCATGGCAGCTCCATGGCGGCATGAGAGAATGATTGACTAACTGTACCTGACCACAAGACAAGCTCCAGGGCATCATTTGGGGCCCAGTTAACTCAATCACGCTAGGGCAATCTCCTTAGTTCTCTCTAGATCACATTAACGCCACGGACCTATAGGCAATCTCCTTGACGACCGGGATTTTCGTAAAACTTTCCATCGAAACCTTTCCCAAAATATTATCTTTTAATTTATTTCAAAAACAAATTTTCATTTTCAACTCAAAATTTTCCCCTTTTCATGCCCAATGTCATGCATGTCACATACTTTGACATCACTATGAAAATAAAAGAATTTCTACTACATAATTTAACATGCTTCCACATAGCAAATTTCTAGCAAAATAATAAACACCGCGGCATGGAAATTAACATTTAGGCATGCTTTTCATACAATTTAATTACTACACATAATCATATTTTTTTATCTACAACATTAATATCATTTCTAAAGCTATCAACTCAAATTAAATATTTCTACCACATAATTTGACATGCTTCCACATAACCATCTCTAGGAAAATGCCCTTGCAACAACAAAAATTCTGAGAAAATAGAAAATGACGAAAAATGAAAATATTACAATCTACCCTCCTTATGAAAAAAGGCCCACAGTCACATACCTCTTCCCGAGAACGCCTCACTAAACCCCAAAACCATGAACTCATTAACATTATTACCTTTTGACACCGGACGTCACCAGGCAATCACGCACCACTGCCACTAAAACCCAATACGGGTACTCATCTCTCACCTTATCATAACATAAGACCAACTAGGCTCTACGTCTGATTCAAAAGGAAAACAATTACAAGACCCCAGAACGTAATAACATCCAACCTTCACTCATCCTTCGAAGGGCACACTAAACCCAAAACAGGGAATCCCGTCCATCTCTCAATCAATCACAACTCTAACCTACACATCCTTGACAGACCAAACACTTGCTAATTAACACGTAGCTACACCACTACATAACCATACCAACAACTACCAACCTACACTATATAAGTCACCCAATGACTGCCTAGACTTTAGTTACCAAATCAGTAAGGCACACTATCATGTACCCAGGAGGCAAATCCTTAAAACAAGATATTCAATAATCAATGATCATACCGCAAACCCCTTATCAGACACTTGGTCATACCAAACGCACCTCGTCACCTGAGACAAACCATCTGAACCCACCCTGTCACACTGACACATTGCGCAATACTGTACTCTCACTGTTCCTGACAAACTAAAACAATTATTGACCCTTGACCCGATATCGTGCTAAAGAGGAACTGATTCAAGAGAAATGGTTGGCCAGGTTATTCTCATCATCGATCCAATCTCAACACAGATATCGTTCCTGTCCTCAGGTCTAAACCTCAAACACAACCCTACACAGTCCACAAAACAACCACGAGATCCACTCTCTAATCACTCCATCGCTCTACATAACCTCAACAACTATACAGTCACATAATAACTTGCTAAAAGCAACACGACAATCATTCCTCGATCACACAATCATAACAAGCTAAAAGCAACACGATACCAAACGTCACAATCATCGATCAGCACTAAAGATCCCTAATTTCATCATAACATCCACACCAGGTAAACAACTTCATGACATCATTCAGTTTAATTCTTACTTCTTCAAAACACATAATATGACTATCTCATACTTGAAACCTCAAAACCAAAGTCAATCATTCCTATTATTCCTCAATAGAATCACATATTCACTTTCTCTAATCACAAAATTCTAAAGTAACATCGACATTTATCCTTAAAACACTGCTCAAATCAAATGCCTATAAAAACATCCAAGTACATGGCTCACTCAATA